TTTTCATGGGAACTGGCACGAGATTAATGACGGCGCCCGGAGAGACGGGCCCACGCCGCTGATTTATTGACCACTTAGCGCTGATGAAGCTGCAAACAAGAGTCAAACAGATGTTGCCGCTGCATTTTTCTTTATCAAAACCGACCGCGTTTGCATGTTTAACCACTTCCTGCACGGCTGTCCTGCTCCCGCCACAGACAGCAGCGATGGGGGGGCCCCGGGCTGTGGGACCCCAACATCCACTGCCCAGAGCCCACCCCTGGCGGTGGCCAAGAGGAGGACGTGGGGCCCCCAGACTCGGGCTCGGCAGGCCGGGTCCCCATGAGGGCCTCTGGTGAGGAGCACAGGGCTGCCTGCACCCAGGGCCAGGGCCTGTCTGCGCACCCAGGGGCGGGCTTGGCATTCCAGGCCCAGGGCCCACTCCCTGCAAACCGGAACGCCTCCCCTCCGGCTCATTTGGAGTGGGTGACCCACACCCACGTACAGCGGCACGTCGGGGGCCTGGGGGGCGGCAGGGGCGCTGGGCTTGGGAGCTGCTGAGTAAGGAGCCAGGGGAGGTGGCGTTGAGACTTACACGGACGTGTGGCCCGGAGCACCCCCGCCGGAGAGCACGGGGACCACGGCAGGCGTGGGGATGGGGTGGCAGGGCCCCGAGGAGCCTAGGGGAGCAGAGTGGCCGGAGGGAAAACAGGCGGGGGTCCCTGTAACCGTATCGGGATGCGGGTCTCCTTCGCCATTGCCGGGATCATGGGGTCACGCCTGGTGGGGGTGGGAGGGTTGACTGGGGGGGTGGGGAGGGGGAGAACCAGGCGGAGACGGGCTCACCCTCGGGCTGTCAGGGTGGGCAGAGGGGGTGGCGCAGGGAGAATGCCACGTCGGTGATGGGTCAGGAGAGAGAGGGAGGGACAGCAGCGAGGTTCTGAGGTTCTGACCTGGACGCTTGGGGAAGGCGGTGCCATCCCCGTGGGTGGAGCCTGGGGCAGGCCATGTGGCTCGGCCTTGAAGCCAGAGGTGGTCACGAGGCCCCACCAGGAGCTGAGAGCGGACAGTGGGCCAGGGCCCGGAGCCTGGACGGGGCAGTGCGGACAGTGGGCCAGGGCCCGGAGCCTGGACGGGGCAGTGCGGGCTGCGGAGAGAGTGCCAGGACTCCTGGGAGCAGGGCGCTGCCGGCCAGGACGCTGGGCCAGGGCTCCCAGGGGCAGGGCAGCCGGACCGGCCGCCAGGGGTCCACGTGCAGGGAGAGGAGGGTCGGGACTTGGGCTGTGCAGAGCGTCCGCGTTGTGAGCGGGCAGGCCACAGCCAGAAGCTGGACCGGGCCGTTCTCTCGGGATCCGTTTTGCTTGGTGTGGGGTCTCCAGGCCCAGCAGCTGGGGAGAAGGGTGAGAACAGTCTACAGAAGAGGAAGGGATGGGACCTCCTTACGCACAGCTCTTTCCAGAAGGTTCTGGAACGTCTCTGAGATCTCTACTGATCCTCGGCTTTCCCCTCCACAGCCCCAGCCGGCCCACGGGACCCCTCCCCCAGGCCAGGCCTCCCGCACTTTCGGGGGTGCCATCCTCCAAGGTCATGCTCTCTGGGAGGGTGACCTCTGGCATCTTCATGGAAACCCCGTACGCAGGGAGGAGCCTGTGGACAGAACCGAGGCTCCCGAGTCCTGGCGGGTCCGCCAGGCGGTGTCCTGGCCCTGCTTCCCCCACCCCCAACCCCCGGCCCTGGGCGCCCCGAGCCTCCCCTAGCCTGCCTGCCCCACCTGGTGTTGCTATGAGCACGCCCGGGAGCCTACAACCCTGGGACTCCACGGCGAATATATTTTTCTACCAAAAACACCCAATAAAATGCACAACTAATGGATGGGATTGCAACAGTGCCAAGAAGCGACGTGTGCCCCCAAAATCCAAACATCCAACCATCCAAACATCCAAACATGCCTCCATCACGTGGCCCCCAAACCAGGAAGTGGAACTGAAGATCCAGCCGGGGACCTGGAGCTGCAGGAGCCCAGGCTCTGGACTAGGACCTGCCTCAATGATGGAGAGTGAACCTGCAGCTCACCAGCTTCCCACCCCAGCCAGTCCCAGCTCCCTGCCCCAGCCGGTCCCAGCTCCCTGCCCCAGCGGGTCCCAGCTCCCTGCCCCAGCTCCCTGCCCCAGCCAGTCCCAACTCTCTGCCCCAGCCGGTCCCAGCTCCCTGCCCCAGCCAGTCCCAGCTCCCTGCCCCAGCCAGTCCCAGCTCCCTGCCCCAGCCAGTCCCAGATCTGCAGGGCCCAGCTTCCTCCCACTGTGTTAAGGCCGCTGAGAGGCACAGCCCAGAGTGGGCTCCTGGAAGGGCCCAGTGCCTGATTTAAAAGGATCAGAAGGGGAGCTAGACCCCAAGTCGGTAGTCACAGACGTGGGCCCGGGCCCCGGGTCTGTGAACTCCTCACTGGCATTCGCAGCCTCCATCGAGTTCTCAGCGGCCTCAGTCCCGCCGAAGTTAGCGCCGCCCTGCCTCCCAGCCTCCCGGGAGAGCTGTGCCCTCCCAGCCTAGAACACTGAGGCAGATGCCAGCTGCACGCAAGCACAGGAAGGGAAGGGCGGGAAGTCCAGCGTCAGTCTATCTCCATGGTCGGCAAACTGCAGCTCTCGAGCCACATGTGGCTCTTTGGCCCCTTGAGTGTGGCTCTTCCACAAAATACCACGGCCTGGGCGAGTCTACTTTGAAGAAGTGGCATTAGAAAAAAATTTAAGTTTAAAAAATTTGGCTCTCCAAAGACATTTCGATCGTTGTGCTGTTTATACTTGGCTCTGCTGACTAATGAGTTTGCTGACCTCTGGTCTAGCTCAATTGCACTGATGGGAATGAGCAGTGGTCATTGCCCACGGCTTGACAGCTCCAGGCCTTCCCCATGGCTGAGGAGATAAAGGAGGCTACAGACTAAGACACAAACCCCGTCTCCATCCTGCCGGATGGAGATACAGAGGGCGGGGCATCAGGGAGTACTTCCTGGAGGAGGAGGCGAGCCTTGTGCTTGTCCTCAAAGAATAGGTGGAGGCCGGCTATGCAGACACAGACCTGGGCGCTGAAGGGAGGGACAGCACTTTCTGAAATGGGAGAGTTCGGGGTGCTCTAGTGCAGGAATTCCTGGTTTGGGGGTTTGGTGTGTGGGGAAGGCGGCTCTCCCTGGCTCCCCAAGGCCTGTCCTACCCCCTTGGTCTCCCACAGCCTTTGCTGGCGCTCCGTGGGGCGATGGGGCAGGAGGCTACAGGTCTCTCCTCTCCCAGGGGCTGGCATCCATCCAGTGCCCCCCAGAGGGCCCAGCTCCTGCTCCGGGGCCAGGATCAGAGCAGCCCCAGGCGCCCACCGGCCCCGCAGCCCTTTGATCCTTCCTCGTCTCGCTCAGCAGCCAGTGCTGCCGCCGCCCAGGCACAGCTCAAGCAGGTGCCTGAGCAGCGCAGCCCGGAGGCAGGAAGAACACAGGGCAGGAGCCCCCCATGGCCTCCTGGGCCACCTCCGCTGTGCCTTGGGGAGAGCAGGTCTGCAGCTGCTCCCCCCGGGGCACAAGGCAAGGATGCAGGGAATGGAGGCGGGAAAGCATGAGACCAAGCGGGACTGGCCAGCAGGTGCCTTGGCAGGACCTGAATTTGGAGTCAGAATCCTGGCTTCCGGCCCAGGCTCTGTCCCTGGCCAGACACAGCCTCAGGCAGGTCCCAGCTTCTCTGGGCTCAGCCCCCTCATTGTGGACGGAGGGCGCCCTGCCTGGCCCCGCTCTGCACACCCCCCATCTCCTTATCCTCCCTCCCCCCGCTGCTGGCCAGCGGGCAGCAAAGGGGCCAACGCTGATGGCGCTCGGAGGGCAGTGCCCGCGCCCACGGCGGGTCCTCGTCACTGTTGAGGAGCATGAGTGCCGCCGTCCAGAAAAGCCGCCGGTCAGGGGCGGCTGGGCCGGGCTGATGAGGTTGGCGCGGTAACTGGCGTTGGCGAGGAAGAACCCCCATTGAAAAGCGGTTTAAGTTGTGCCAGTCGCCGTTCTTGCGCTGGTCACGTGTCATCTCGAGCCTTTGCTAATGCATTGGCGGACCCCACAGCCATGCATGGCGTGGCTCTGGCCAGATCCGGAAAGGCGACCGCAGACGCAGCCCCCTGAGCGGCGTCCCGAAGCCGCCGGGGCCCGTGGGAACCGTGGCCGGTGTCGGGCGGGAAAAGCGATGGGAGGGACCTTCCGCCTGGCTCCCCTGCAGCCGCCTGCGGGGTCTCGCTGGATCGCCACCTTCCCTGGCCGGGGAGAGGTTTCCCTGGGTCTTGCCAGCTGCGTTATAAAGCGATGGGATTGCTTTTCACAAACGAAGCGGCCCGGCCGGGCCTTCTGGGGCCACGAGGGGCCCTGGAGGGGGGGTCGGGGTGCGGGGAGGTGGCGAGCTCTGCATATTGGAGCTGGTGGCCGGCAGAGGGGGACCGGGGGCGTTTTGAACTGAGTTTGGGGGACGAGGCCGACCCAGTGCCTTCGGGGTCCCCGGGAGAGCTCTTTCCGTCCCGAAGCTCAGGGAGGTCCCGGGCCCGAGCGCCGGGGGAGGGAGTGACGGCCACCGCTGGGGTGTCGCTCGGAAGGGCCCTGCTGACAGGCTGTTTGCACAGGGAGAGGGACCCACCCTCAGAAGAGGGGTGCCTTCAACCCTGGGACCCAGATTCCCCGCAGGAAGAGGGGGCGGAGGTCCGGGTGTGGGCAGAGCTGTGTCTGACCGCGGGTGTGGGCCTTCGTTACTCCGTGTGCAGAGCGGCGTTCTCCGAGGGGCAGTTGTGTCCCCAGGGGAAGCTGGGCAGTGTCTGGCGACAGTTCTAGTAGCAGCTGAGGGCTGGGGGTGAGGCGTCGGGCGGGCGGGCGCCAGCGGCCCCGAGGATGAGGAAGCGGGAGGGTGAGGAGGCGGGCGTGCGGACCCTCGGCCGGCCTGTGCCTGCTGGCGGAGGGTGGGGGACGGTGGACCCCATGCCGCCTCATGCTGCCGGTCTCTGTGCTCTCCCCCCAGAACCCCGACATCGTCCTGGTGCACTATCTCAACGTCCCAGCCATCGAGGACTGCGGCAAGCCCTGCGGGCCCATCCTCTGCTCCATCAACACCGACAAGAAGGAGTGGGCCAAATGGACCAAGGAGGAGCTCATCGGCCAGCTGAAGCCCATGTGTGAGTGGCCGGGAACCAGGCAGCGGCGTCCGGGCGGCCAGGCCCTCCGTGGCCGGGGGACCACGTGTGGGAGCCCCTTCCCCTCGGAGGGCAGTGACACAGGGACCCCACTTTCCCCTGACCCTCACGCCCCCTGTGCGACAGGCAGGGCACAGAACGTCGGGCGCATGGAACAGGGAGACAGCGAGGCTCAGGGGCACAGAGCAGCACGCGGGGGAGCAGAGCCCAGAAAGCGGGGACCTCTGCCCCCTGGGTGGCAGGCGGGGGGGGGGGGGGGCTGGGGACCCGGGAGGGTGGCCCGGAGCTGGCTGCCTCCGCCCTCTGCGCCCGGACTGGAGGCCTCGGCACCCTGACTGGGAGGCACAGGGACGACGGTGCCCGAACAGTGACCGCACAGCGGGTGCCCTAAGCAGCTGTCAGGTGCGAACCGCCCAGTGCAAAGCTCCCCTGAGTCCAGAAAGCCAGGCCGTGGCTTCTGGCGGCCACTAGTGGGGCTCAATGGCCTCTCCTGCCCCCTGGACACCAGGGCTCAGGAGAACCAGACTCAGAGAGCAGGAGCCGTGCGCCTCGGGAGGGGCTGTGGGGAGAAGCCGCGGGGGCCATACTCGGGGAGCAGCGGAAATGCCCGTCCAGAACGAGTAAGGGTTGCGTCTCCGGGAGGGTCCTAGCTGAAGCCAGGTCACCTGCATAGCCCCCTAATCCTGAGAGTCCCACAGTGCTCAGGTTGGGGGACCCCCTCGTCCCAAGGTCAGGGATGGGGATCAGGAGGGACAGAGGGGTCTGTGCGGCCTCAAAGGCTCCGACCAGCTTGTCCCCGATGCTGCCGCTGCCACCAGGAACCTTGAGCCAAGTGGCCGGGCCTCTGGGCTCAGGCTGTCCCCTCCCAATGGACACGGGGTTAAGCTCCGTGAACACCAGGCTGGACCTCTGACACTTACCTGGAGGGACCAAAGGCCTGTTGAAGTCTGCGGAGCATCGAGCAAATTGTGTAAAACTACAACCGACCCCATAAATCTCATAACCCGGGCTCTGGGGTTTGGGGCGGGAGCCCAGCAGCACGCAGACACGTAGAGTGCACGTGTGTGCGTGGCTCTGGTCACAGACACGCAGCGTGGAGCAGGGCCCGGCGAGTGCGGGGAGAAGAGCTCTCGGTGCTGCCCGGGCCGGGCACAGGCAGGCACAGGCCGGGCACAGGCAGGCACAGGCCGGGCACAGGCAGGCACAGGCCGGGCACAGGCCGGGCACAGGCAGGCACAGGCCAGGCACAGGCAGGGCACAGCCGGCGTGCTCGGGAAGCAGAGGCGCGGTGAGCCAGGAGGCGTCAGACCCGTTTCCAGGAGCCAAACACATTAGCTTCATCACATTTCCACATAAATCGCATTCCTTCAGACTTCACAGTTTGATTTCCTGATGTTCCCCCATTTCTCTGCCCCACAGCAGAGTTGTCAGTGGTTTAATCAAAACGCCGTCTTCTCGGCGGCGGCGAGGGGAGCGCGGATCTGCAGCCTCTGCCTCGGCCGCTGGGGACAGGGCTGTGGTCTCCAGCTCCGGGGTCTCACAAACGCCCGCGAAGCCAGAGGGACCGAGAACCCCCCAGATCCTTGCAGCCGAGTCCTCCGGCCCAGGGGCTCGCCTTGAACCTGCGGCCTGAGGGATGCCCGGCCTGGGGGGAAAGCGCGTGTCTGTGGCCAGAGCTGTTCGATAGGCATTCCCAGGTGCTTCCGAAAGCTTCCTTCCGTCCCTGCAGCCCCTCCCTCCCGTGGTAGGGAGAGCGTGGGCCCTGCTGCCCTGGCAAAGGCCACGCAACTGGAGGCTTCAAAAACCAGAAGGCGATTTCTCTGCCGCGCGGCAGTGGAAGGCTGACGTGGCAGGCCACGGTCAGGGACCTGCCATCAGGGCTCCTGCCAGCTGGTCACTCTGCCGTCCCTAGGGTGTTGCCGTCTCTTACGTGGCCCAAGATGGCAACTCCCGCTCCCGCCATCACAACGGCATTCCAACCAGTGGAAGCAGAGACGAGAAAGTGGAGGGCAATCGTTGCCCCTTTAAGGACAGGGCCCAAGTGCCCATGCTTTATTCCTAGGTCATTGGCCAGCGTTTGGTCACATGGTCACCCCTGGTTGCAAGGGAGTCTGGGAAGTATAGTCTTTTGCTAAGCACTACTATCCTAACATGCTTTGGGGACTAAGGTTGTGCGTGTGAGTCGCTCGGGGCTGAGTGGAGTTGAGCTCAAGCCAAGGGCCCCTGTCGGATCCCCAGGGAGACCTGCTCGGCTCAGGGCTGAGGGTCAGCTCAGTTCCCATCCGTGGGTTGGCATTTATAGAATCCAAGTCAACGGGACCTAAGGCTTAGCGTGTCTCCTCCTGGAAACTCTGGGGTCTGTTCCAATGCAGCTGCTCTGAGCAAGCTGCAGCCTCAGGCCCAGCAAACTGCCGGCACATGAGAGAGGGCTGGGCCAGTGGAGTCCTCCCCGCCCTGATTGACAGCAGGGCGCGTGCCCCACGAGCTCTGTGCCACCTCCTGTCCGCCTGGCAGGAGGCGTGCTCAGTGAGGGGATGGAGGCCCTGTGGAGGGGAGGGAGGCTGTGGGGGAGGGAGGCCGTGGGGGAGGGGAAGGGGGCCGTGTGGAGGGGAGGGAGGCCATGGGGGAGGGGGGGAGGCTTTGTGGAGGGGAGGGGGGCCATGTGGAGGGGATGGAGGCCGTGTGGAGGGGAGGGAGGCTGTGTGGAGGGGAGGGAGGCCGTGGGGGGGGGGCGTGGGGGAGGGGGGAGGTTGTGTGGAGAGGAGGGAGGCTATGTGGAAAGGAGGCCGTGGGGGGGGCCGTGTGGAGGGGAGGGAGGCCGTGGGGGGGAGGCCGTAAGGGGGGGCCGTGTGGAGTGGCAGTGGGGAGAGGTCATGTTGAAGGGGTGGGGCCCACACTGAGGGTGGGGTTGGAGGGTGCTCTCCAGGCTCCCAGCCCTCCTGAGTTACCGTCGCCTGTGGTCCTCGGGCACCTGCAGCCTCTGGTGTTTGGGGGGCCAGGGTCCCAGCCCCGCCCCATGTGCTCTCGGGAGCTCTTTCCTACCCTCTGCAGCTGCATGGCCAGCACAGCAAGCCCCAGGGACCCGGCAAGGCCGGAGACGAGACCTCGCGCTGCTGAGGAAGGCTGGGGTGGCAGAGACGAGAAGGGAGCCGGCTAATGAGCGGGCGCCTGCCTCTCCAGGAGCTGCTCGCCAGGGCCTCTGTCTCCAGGGCCCCCCCTTCCCCGCCCCCCTCAGCCCCCCAGGCCCTCCCTGCCACAACACGCATGCCCTGGGCTGTACAGTCAGCGCCTCTGCTGTTTTCTCATCCTTTTCCAGACAAAGACCAAAGCTCCAGCAAGAGAGAAAGTGTTTATTTGTTTTGGTTTTTTGCTTAGATTGTAATCCTGGTGATTATAGAAATATCAAGAAGTAAAATCAACAAAGGCTTTCCCTCCCCCCTACCCCGTCTCCCCCTGCACCAAACCCCCGTTCCTGATCGGTTAGCGCCACCTGGTGGTTAGTGGCAGCAGAGCGGCTCGGAGAGGCAAACCCCGGGAGGAGCCAGACTCCCCAGCCAGGCCCTGGAGTCCCAGCCCTGCGGGGACCTGGAGTCTGGGGTGTGTGGGGAGGGTCTCAGGCCTGCTCTGCGGCTCGGGGGCCGTGGGCTTGGCGTGGGGCTGGAGCACAACTCCTTTCCTCCGCCTCAGTCATCACCGGGCCGGTAGAAGGTGGAGGGGCTGGTGTTCCCCTGACAGTCTGTGGGCAATGGAGGGGCCCAGGGGTGCTGCCTGGGGAGCAGCAGGCGGGGCACCTGAGCTGGGAGGGGAAGGGGGGTCAGGTCGGGGAAAGGGGGTTGCAGTCCGAAAGGGTCGGAGGGTTCATTTCCGGCCAGGAGTGTTCGCTTGGACACATTTCCCAGTGTCCCCACCTCTGAAAGGAGGAGTGCGAGACAAGGAGTCAGGAGTGAGCTGGGCACTGAAAGATGAAATTGAGAGGGCCAGAGACCGGGATGCCAGGACACAGGCTTTATTGAAGAGAGAGAGAGAGAGAGCGGAAGAGAGCGAGGGCCGGGGTACAAGCACCTTTAAGGGGAGGAGAGGGGGCGGGGCTGAGGGCACTCAGCACACGCTGATGGGTGGTTTCATGGAAGGCCTATGATTAGGGGCCTAGGGATTAGGAATCGGGGGCTTAGGGCATTTGGCAGGGGCTGATGGGTGGGTCAGAGCTCAGGAATGTCCGGCTGCAGGTGGAGTTTACGTCTATCCATCAGTTGGAGGAAGGGAGGATCTATCAGGCACGTCCAGGCCGCCCACCCCTGGGGCTCAGGGCAGCCAGAGCGGCCGAGGTGCCCCCTGACCTCCCGGCCTGCACAGCCTGGGCAGACGCGGGCTCCGTGAGGGACAGGGGCCCACGTCACAGACACGCGGGCAGGTCGGTGAAAAGGGGGGGCTGCTGCCTCCGAGGCGCCCGGTTCCACGGGCCTGAGCGGGCCCCCGGCGCCTGCGTGTTTAACAGGCAGGACTCCGGGGCTTTCTGAGAGCGCCCGGCCTGCAGCAGGCGCAGCCAGAGGCCAGCCAGGGAGCCCGTGGGGCTCAGGCCACGGGCGGTTACACACCAGCTGTCTCGCGTGGCCGGGAAGGGGCAGACGCGGGCGGCTGTGCAGATCTCCAACTTGTAAAAAAATGGGGGGGGGGGGCGTGCGAGGTCCCCTGCAGACTCCGGCATAAGGCCTGCCACGCTAGCACGTCCCTCGGGTCGGAAGGGAGATGTCAGTGCCAGGCACGTGTGGGGTGCAGCCGGACACTTATGGACTCGAAGTCCTGAGGAGCACCCCTGGGTGCCACAAAGGAGGCACGCCTGTGTCCCTGTCAGCGCCTGAGCTCACTGTGCGGGAGTGGGGGGCTGCACCCAGGAAGGTTTACTGGAGCAGAGGGCTCTGGGGCTGTGAGGGTCGGGATCTGCCAGGCTCCCTCTCGGATGCTTTCCCTCCACACCTGCCCGC